CCTAATGTGGTTGGACGTGGAAATTCCATAAATTACTTTTAATACCTATGATAAATGCTGCTATGTACTTGATATCCTGAACCCCACATTGCACTATCATACACGGATACCTTAAACTGACAGCTCTTGAGAAAATGATTACATTTAATATAATAAAATAAAGTAGTATTTTTCTGCTTTTGCGAATCAAAAACAATTCACAAAAATGTGTTAGTATAAATTGGCCAACATACTCTCTTGTGGGAAGAACTGTCTTCAGATTACAGCTGCTAACAGATGATTTTTTTTTTTTGAGACAGGACCCTCAAGCTGTCCCTCTGGGTAGAGTGCCGTGGCATCACAGCTCATAGCAACCTCCAACTCCTGGGCTCAAGAGAGTCTCCTGCCTCAGCCTCCTGAGTAGCTGGGACCACAGGTGCCCGCCACAATGCCCGGCTATTTTTTGGTTGCAGCCGTCATTGTTGAATGACGAATCCAGGCTGGATTCGAACCTGCCACCTTGGGTGTATGTGGCTGGCGCCTTAGCCACTTGAGCCACAGGCGCTGAGCCTGTAACAGATGATGTTAGTGTTTGTTTCATTCATATCTCTGTGCCTTTGTCAGAGAGCAACCCTCTAGCTGCCCAGACCTAATTTGCTTGAGCCAGAGTTGACTGGGAAAGGCTCTCAGGGGCATCTCCTAAAGAGCAATTTAAAAAGCAACAATACTCCTGTTCGGTTGCCCCTAATCCAAGTAGCCTACATTGTCTCCAGTGCTCCCCATGGGTCTGAAAGTTACCTTCTAAGGGCTTGACTTGACCTTTGCTTCCTCCTCTTTTCCTCTCATTTCCCCAGTCCTTTACTGGATTTTCTTGGAATCATTGCCTAGTAAGTCACTTTAAAACACATTTGTTTTATATTGTTAGGATGAGTATGTACAACATCCACTGCATGCATCAAAAGAACCAGAAACTTATTCTGTGGAGAGAACAATTATCAAACTTTTGGCCTGAAGTTTCAAACAGTTTCATTGTGTGATCCCTTCCAAGGCATGCATAATAAATATCTTTCAAAAGTTGGTGCTTGAGATGGAAGTCCAACTATCAGACCTAAGAGTCTGTGCTCAACTGGGATCCTGGTGATAGCTTCTACATCCTAATGTGATTCTTATCCAATCATATGTCCCATTAGTCTCCAACTCTTTCCTTCCCCCACTAGCTGAATCCCTTGTTCTCACACACAACTCTATATTTACCTTGACAGTACTCATACCCTGGCCTGATGCCCTAGAGTTTGTATCCCATGATTCCTAGTCATACTATTGATTCCCCTCAGTTGGCAGAGGCTACAGTGGCCAGGTCCTTACATAAAGTCGTCCAAATGGGCTAGAGATTTTCATGCCATGCAGCTAGTGTTCCTTATTTCAGATAAATGGAATATCTGAATTCAGGCACTCTCTCAACACCAGCTGTCTGATCAAATTCAAAGCCTTATATGACAAGGGTATATCCTGTCAGTGTGGAAGGACTTCTCTGCCAGTGAACAGAATTCCTTTTGAGAAATGGGTTGGGGTTTCAATCAGAGGTTCTCAATCTTAGTACTATTGACATTTTGGACTAGGGAATTTTTTGGGTGTCTATTCTGTGCATTGCAGGATGTGTAGCAACATCTCTGCCTCTACTTACTGGATACAAGCAGCGCCCCCTTTTTTGTTGTAAAAGTAAAGCATGATAAGATCAGAGGATCAAGATGGCTACAAAGAAATAAAAGGCTTTCATTTTGAAAGCAAACTTTTGTTGGCAGAAGAATTTTCAGTTGTTGTGTACAAGTAGCTTCTTTCCACATCTTTTATTAATAGATCATACTGTTAATCCTGTCTCTCCTTACATAAACATAGCCCATCCCACTTTCACTACAGCACTAATGAATAATGTTTCTTTGCCAGAGTAGCAAAGAGAAAAGGAATGACAATTTCTTCTATTCTATACTATTGTGGGGAGATGAATACTCACAGATTGCAAGGGATGTAAAAACGACTGGAGGAAAGTCTGACTTTTTGGGACTATAATCTTGTAACATGTACATGAAATACATAAATTTTTAATAAATTTTTATGTACCAAATTCCATTTTATCGTGGAGGAGTTACGATGAAGAAGGATTTGTGTTTAAACAGTGAGTATTAGAAACGACCAAAAAATGGCTCAGTGCTAGTAGCACAGTGGTTACAGTGCCAGCCACATGCCCTGAGGCTTGCGGGTTTGAACCTGGCCCAGGCCAGCTAAACAATAACAACTGCGACAAAAAATAGCCGGGTGTGGTGGTAGGTGCCTGTAGTCTGAGCTAATAGGGAGGCTGAGGCAAGAGAATCACTTGAGTCCAAGAGTTTGAGGTTGCTGTGAGCTGTGATATCATGGGACTCTACCGAGGGTGACATAGTGAGACTGTCTCCAAAACAACAACAACAACAAAAAAAACCCAACCAAATGTTCAATGGGAAGCTGATTTAATTATGGCATAGCTATATAATATTATATAAAAGCATAGAAATTTTAATTGTAAAGAAGATTTTCCCAATTAAAAAACAGGTTACAAGCCAAGTGTGTGGCTCATTCCTGTAATCCCAGCACTCGGGGAGGCTGAGGAGGGAGAATTGCTTGAGCTCAGGAGTTTGAGACTTGCCTGAGTGAGAGTGAGACCCCAACTCCTAAAAAAAAAAAATGGAAAAACTCAGCTGGGCGCCATGGTGAGCAATTGTAATCCCAGCAGCTTCCAGAGGCTGAGGCAGCAGAATGCTCACAGCCCAAGTCTGAGGTTGCGGTGAGCTGTGACGCCATTACACTCTGCTCAGGGAATAGGGTAAGACTCTGTCTCAAAAACAACAAACAAAAAAACAGGTTACAAAACAATGTATATACAGGTATAGAAAAAAGTGTGGAAAGATGACTCAGAATTTTAACCATATTTTTGGATGGAAGAATCATGAATAACTTAAAAAATTATACATGTATGACTTTTTTGCTTTTATTTTTAACTTTTTCCTCCTGAAAAGAGTATGTAACCTTTGTCTAACATAAATATAAAAAGCTAGTTATAAGTGCTGCAAATAGCAAGGTCCATGGAAACAAGCCTTTCCACCAAGAGACTGGAAGGAAACTGGTTTCTCTTCATTCTATACCAAGTAGAGCCCAGGAAAGAAGCCACTCACGCTGCTTCAAGTCAAAGGGAGGTCAGAGGTGAAAGACATTTAGATTCTTCTCAATCCTAGCAACTATATGTATCCTTATTGTTTTGGACATTTACTTTTCTTCTCTTATATTCATCCATGTAAAAATCTTTTTTGATTAATTGATGAATCTATATATATTTTGAACTCTTCATTTTTGTATAAGAGTTCATGTGTCAACAAACCAAGTGACTGACTAACCTTAACTAACACTTGGTGTAAGGGCCAGGGAGGAGAGGGAGGCAGCACAGGCTCCTCCATGTTTCTGTTCTTCCCTCACCAGGAGATAGGGACAAAATCCTCATGGCCACATGAGGTAGCTCAACATCCTTTCCTATCTGAACAAAATGTCGGCTAAAAAATAAAAATTTGGGGGGGGGGATAAGATAATGTGCAGAGACAGAAAAACGTGCTTCCTTTCTCTTGTTATGTATGAAGAAAAGTAAAGAATGGCAATCTCACTTCTGCCCTGAAAGGAGATGTCTTAGGATCAGAAGGGATGCTTGTTACACAGTATCAATAATAAGCCACACTTGTCTCAAGTCCTACTAAGGAATACTGCCAATTATCTCATCTTATCACTTTCATAAAGCTGTCACTTTTAGTAGGGTGTTGAAAAATTCTGGTTGTTCATCTTAGGTTCAAACAACTCTAGCTGACGTTAGGAAGCCATTAAGTTAGCTGAAATCTATGCAACAACAGGGAGGACTAAAGATTGTGGACCTGCAATTTACATTAGAGTTGACATAGAAGGAGGGAATTAACTGTTTCTGTCCCTTCTCTTACCCTACTAGACATGCAGCAGTTTGCATACTTTCCAAAAAATAAAATACAAATTTAAGAATCTAATATTATAAAATTGTCCTTTTTAACTGACTCCATACTGTTTTTTTTTTTGGTAGAAACAGAGTCTCACTTTATTGCCCTTGCTAGAGTGCCGTGCCGTCACAGCTCACAGCAACCTCTCACTCCTGGGCTTAAGGGATTCTCTTGCCTCAGCCTCCCGAGTAGCTGGGACTACAGGTGCCCACCACAATGCCCAGCTATATTTTTTGGTTGCAGTTCGGCCGGGGCTAGGTTTGAACCCGCCACTCTCAGTATATGGGGCTGGCACCCTACTTGCTGAGCCACAGGTGCTGCCCAACTCCATACTGTTTTATTCTGGCAGAGAGCTTGTGCTTTGGCAACAAAGGCATTTTTTTTTTTACTATGCTTTACAGTGATGTTATATAACTTCTGTCACCTGTTCAACACAACTATGCCCTCTGTCACCCAAACTCATTGTCTTTTTATAGAACAGACACATTTATTTACTCTATTTCAGACATTTTATTTTTCTTATTTAAACATAAGGCTTTGATAAGCACAAAAGTTTCATAAGTACAAAAAATTCTGTATACCTTTGTGACAGTTAAAAAATTCACAAAAACAAAAGTTTTTAATTTGGGTACTATTCATCTCTACAAATCAGAGTTGATGAATGTATCTGCAAAAATGATAAAAAACTATTTCACTGTGACATTAAAAGTTTTTTTTTTTTTGAGACAGAGCCTCAATCTGTTGCCCTGAGTAGAGTGCCATGGCACCACAGGTCACAGCAACCTCCAACTCCTGGGTTCAAGTGATTCTCCTGCCTCTACCTCTCAAGTAGCTGGGACTATAGGTGCCTGCCTATTTTTTGGATGCAGCCATCATTGTTGTTTGGCAGGCTCCGGGCTGGATTTGAACCCACCAGCTCAGGTGTTAGGTGGCTGGCACCTTAGCTGCTTGAGCCAGAGGCGCCAAGCCAATATTAAAAGTTTTGATGACTCTGTTTCATTTGTTTTAGGAAGTCTAACTTATGACATTTATACAAGATGGATGGATTCCTTGTAGGTATTTGCTAAAGCCTAATTTCCTGCCTTTTCAGTGCTTCAACGATGATACCTCTGTTTTTAGTCTGTGGATGTTTTGTCTAAAGGAAGATTCTGAGAACAGCTTCAGAAAGAAGAAAAGCTGGATTTAGATTTATAGCTATTGCCCTTTCCAATGTTTAAACACTGAAAAAGATTGAAAATTTCTTATTAATGTTAATTTATCTCCCTTGCAGGATTTAATCTTTATACACTGTGGATGAATTACATTCAATAAACTTTTTTATTTTTCCCAAAGTATTTTAATAAAGTTTTCTTGGAAAGATAAATAATTCTTATACCTAGGATTCTGAGTAAAAATGACATTGGAACAGGGAAAGTCCAAGTTTATTTATTTTCTTGTCTAATAAACTGTTGGACAAAGAGAACTGAGATCTCCATGGTTTTTGTTCAGCAACTCTGGGTGGAATGAAAAAAATAATTAATTCTATTTCATCATAGATAACAAAAATTCTGCCAGAATGCTATAAACATGAAGACTAAATAAACAATTAGAAGTCAAATCAGAGACTAACAACTCAGAATTTTTTTTTTCCTCTGCTTAATAAGAAATAAATTATCATTGCTATCATCTTCCAAGTATTTCTCTTTTTTCTTCTGCTTGCCCCACTTCCCTGCTTTGAGAAGCTTGTCATCTCTTGACTTGTGGTAACTCGATGAATGATGAAAGGACTTATGAGCCTTCTGGGTTTTAATCCTGCCAGAAGGAGAGTGAGTTTTTGGGCCCCTGGGAAAATCGTCATCCACATCACGATGTCTTTCACCTCTCCTATGCTTCTCATGGTCTCTATTCCTGTTCTTCATTTTTTTATCTTCTTGAGGCCACATAATGCTTTTCCACAAGAGGTATCTCTTTCTCCAATTATGGTAGGGGCTCTTATCTTCTGTTTCCATAAAAGGTGCCTTGAGACTCATTGGAATGTGCCCATTTTTCTTGAGTACTGGAACATATAAAAGTATTATGGCATATTCATCAGCAAGACAGCCCATACTGAGCTTTCATAAGTCTGTAAATAACTTAGGGAAACTAGACTTTTAAATGTGTTAACAATATGACATTTGAAAAGACCCTAAGGTAGAAAAATCACTTACTAAAATACTCTTGATTGCTAAAAATGGAAAATTTTCTGAAACTTAATGATAGTTATTTCAAAACAGTTTAACTAGGTTAAACAATGAAAGTGAGTCTAAACAATGAAAGTAAGAACAGTAATCAGTTCTGTGAAGAAAAGTCATGTCTGTGCCGGGTATGGTGGCTCATTCCTATAATCCTAGCACTCTGGGAAGTCGAGATGGGAGGACTGCTTGAGCTCAGGAGTATGATATCAGTCTGAGCCTGTCTCTACTAAAACTAGAAAAACTAGCCAGGCATGGTGGCATATACACCTGTAGCTCTAGTTACTCAGGATGCTAATGTAGGAGATCACTTGAGCCCAGGAGTTTAAGGTTGCAGGGAACTATGAAGATGTCACGGTACTCTGCCCAGGGTGACAGAACAAAGACTCTGTTTCCAAAAAAAAAAAAAAAAGAAAAGTAATGTCAGATTAATTCAAGTTTCTCTAGTGATAAGGAGACAAGCCCTTGAAGATAAGGTGAAGCAAGATGTATATAATGGCCCTCTGATGGTCTCATATGGTATTTGAATTACCCTCTAAAAGCCTGGCTACAGTACTTATAGATAGATGCTGAACTACTTGGATTACTCTCTTAGAATATAGATCATGAGCTTGTGGAGTGTGTGCCCGTGTGTATGGTATATGCATGTGAATTTTAGGTTTTAGTGCCAGAGCTGATGCTGTTTTGTCTGGACTTGACACTTGATAGGAGTCTCTGGTGGTAGTGATTCTGATAGATGTAGATGAGAGATGAAGTTACGTTAGGGATGAAAGTTAATTATGTCAACAGAATCTTGAAAGAATAAAGGGGTCAAAAAGACTTTTAGCATAAAACAAAAATTTCAATGGATCACAGAGAACCTCAAAGTGTATTTATGTTACAGAGTTGTTAATACAGCTACTTAAAAAGGAAAACAAACTTTTTTCATTGATTATAATATAAAGTTATAAACTGATCATTACAGAAAACGTGGATAAAATGGAAGAGTATATCTAATTAAGTTGCCTAGATAACCTTTGTGTACTATACACAGCTGACTCTTCAACACAGATTTGAACTTCATGGGCCAACTTAACACTTGAATTTTTTTCAACCAAATAAGGACTAAAAAATACAGAATTTGAGGCTGGGTGTGGTGGCTCATGTCTGTAATACTAGTACATTGGGAGGCTGAGGCAGGACTGCTTGAGGCCAGGAGTCTGAGAATAGCCTGAGCAACATAGCAATACTCCATCTCTACAAAAAACAGAAAAAATTAGCCAGGCATGTTGGTACACGTGTGCTTGTAGTCCGAGCTACCAGCTACTCAGGAAGTTGAGGGAGGAAGATTCTCTGAGCCCAGAAGTTTGAGGTTGCAGTGAGCTGTGATCACACCACTGTACTCTAGCTTACGCAGAGTGAGACCTTGTCTCAAAAAATGAAAAAAAAAAAAAAAAGAAAAGAAAAAGAAAATACAGCATTTGAATTTGGGGTATGTGAAACCCATGTATATATGTGTGACTTTTTGCATACTCAGGTTCTGCAAAGCCAATTGTAGGACTTGAGCATGCATGAATTTTGGTATATGAGGAGGGTCCTGGAACCAATACTGAGGGACAACTGCAGTGGAGATCAATTTTATATTGAATATATATGTAAAATATGCAGGAGTTGTAAGAAGTAATTCCTCTTTCCTCAGAATTAGTAACTTCATTTTGAAAAGGACTTGAACTAAGAGTCTAGAAAAGAATAACAAAAAAGAGGAAAAGAGTCAGAAAGCAATATACAGAACAACTCAAAAAATATAGAACTGGCCAGATGTGGTGGTTCACACCTGTAATCCTGGGCACTCTGGGAGGCTGAGGCTCGTGGATTGCCTGAGGTCAGGAGTTCAAGACAGTCGAGCAAAAGCAACATCCCATCTCTACTAAAAACAGAAAAACCAGCTGGGTGTTGTGGTGGGTACCTGTAATCCCAGGTACGTGGAAGGGTGAGGCAAAAGGATCACTTGAGCCTAAGAGTTTGAAGTTGCTGTGAGCTATGATGCCATAGCACTCTACCCAGGGTGACAGAATGAGACTCCATCTCAAAAAAACAACAAAAAAAAAAGAACTATTTTGTCCTACAAGCAAGAGAGGTAACTTGGAAAACCATGTATATAATAAGAAAGCACACATTTAGAGAAAGTAAACTTAAATTATAAGACATTAATTTGGTGAGAAAGAAGTTTATGTTAGTAATAGTAAATACAGAAACCACAGAGGGGGCTATGGACCTGGAACTCTGCTTGCAATGGTGGTATATAAGAAAAGACTTGACTGGGCATGGTGGCTCATGCCTGTAATCTCAGCACTTTGGGAGGATGGGGTAAGATGATCACTGGAGGCCAGGGTCAGAGACCAGCCTGACCCCGTCTCTAAAAAAAAAATTTTAAAATAGCTGGGTACGGTGGCTCATGTCTGTAGTTCCAGCCACTTAGGAGGCTGAGGCAGGAGAATCACCTGAGTTGAGAAGTTTAAGGCTGCAGTGAGCTATGACTGTGCCGCTACATTCTAGCTTGGGTGACAGAGCAAAAAGAAAAATAAAAGGAAAAAAAAAGACTTCTTGGGGGAAGCCCTAGAAGGAAAGCTAAAAAATACTAGAGATGTACAAAAGGAAAAGAATTCCTTTTCAAACAGAAAAATCTTTTTTTTTCCTTTTTTAGAGATAGAGTTTCACTTTGTCGCCCTCGGTAGAGTGTCGTGGTGTCACAGTTCACAGCAACCTCCAGCTTTTGGGCTTAGGCGATTCTACCCGCCTCTCGAGTAGCTGGTACCACAGGGACCACCACACGCCTGGATAATTTTTGTTGCAGTTTGGCTGGGGCCAGATTTGAACCCATCACCCTCAGGATATGGGGCCAGCACCCTACCCTCTAGGCCACAAGGCACCACCCCCAGAAAAATCTTAAATGAGTCTTTAAAAACTCTGCATAGATGGACAGCAGTATTTTCTGGACATATTCTAAAATCATCACTATGTGAGAAAAATGTCTATTGTGAATAGAGTGTAACACAGCATTTCTCTCTCTCTCTCTTCCCCCCACCTCCCCAACCATGTAACACAGAATTTCTGATGTAGGTGTTTAGTTTCTGGAGATTAAGAAAATTCTAGTTTCTACAGTAATTATTAAAAATATTGTCTATGTTAACCAATGACCCCTAAAGGAAAAGATAGTACAAAAAAAAAAAATTAAGAAACTACAGCCAAAGTAATCTAACAAGAAGTCTAGTAACATACCTTTTATTTCTCGTTTGAGTCTCTTCTCCCTCTCTTGAATTTCATCTTTGTCATCATAGTAGCTGATGAATGGAGATACCACATATTCTTCATATTCATTTTTTTCTGTACATTCCTACAAATTGTATTTGAAATTCTGATGTCATAAGGTCACACCATTCAGAAAACCTTTTTGCAAGATTCTGGACCATGTTAATCAGAGATGAGCCTCACATCATTGGTACTAAATGCTGTGGTTAGAAGACATGGTCCTTCTTGGGGTGGTGGTAGTGGGGACACCCAGCCCGCCCTATAACCCATTGTGCTTATAATGTTGTTCTATTAGGTTTGGGTTTTCTTCTTTACCTATGAAATTTTACTTATGTTTTTGCAATCTTCTCTGCCAAACTCCTCCTCTAGTCTGAGTTAACAGCCTTGTCCCTCTGTTAGAAGTTTTATTCAGCCTTATGTTATAATGTTATTAGCCCTTTGCTTGTCTATCTCTTTAAAAAGACTTTCCCAAATCTTATTCTCATCCCCCAAATGTGGGTGTAAATTCTTAGCCATTTGCTCTCAATAGTCACTACTTATAAAGGTAGTGATTATTTTGGGGAGGAATAGGGTGGTGGTGGGTTATGTCTAGTTGGAAAATGTTCCTACATAATTTTGACATACCCCAAAGGAAATATTTATTTTTCCTGCTCCCTACATGCTCCACTCAAGCTGAGATCACTACTCTACTCTCATGACTCTGGCCTCTCCACAGCTGGTATTTCCCAAATCCTTTGACTTGAATGGCTCCCCATTGTAGCAACCTTTTGTTTACTATGATCTGTGACATATACTCATTCAGCATGTTTTAAAAATCTTTTCTTTGAAAAAGGTTTCCCTTTGGAGCTTTCCCATTTCTGCCTTCTGCCATCTTGCCTAAAATTTATTTACAAATGTTCAATATTTCTCAGCTAAGTAATGAAGAAAAATCAGAGTATCTTCTAAAAAGTACATGAAACAGTCATATAAAATTTATCTGATTCATCATAACTTTGGCATTATATACTAGACTTATACTTCTAAGACATCTGACCCAGTTGGTAGTCATATGCTTATGTAATATGTAGATTACAAAATTACAAATCAGTCTAAATGTACACTTATGTATAAAGAATATCTGTATTTACTACTCATATGAAATCATAACATTTTACCTTAAGTGACTTCTGTTTTATTCTCCCAAGAATTAAAGCATTAATGATACAACTGAAATCCTCTTTCCCATTTCTCATTCATCTCCTTTTTCTAGAAGTTACTGCTGCTATAAAGCTGATGTCTGCCATTCTCATGTGTTTTTATATTATTAATGAATATTCTCATACATAATAGGGTAAGTTTTCAGACTTGATAAAAGTGGTATCATTCTCTATGTATTTTGAAATGACTTTAGGTTGTAATAGTCTCACAAAATAAGTTGGGTAATGTTCCTTTGGATTATCTGTTTCTGAATAAAGGTTTTGTCAAACTTGACTTATAAACTATCTTGAGGTCAGATCTGGTGGCTCATTTCTGTAATCCTAACATTCTAGAATTATATTATGGTTAGAATATTTACTAGAAATAAAATTGCTTTATACATCACCATTATAATACTAGAGTATTCTGAATGAGTAATTCAGTGTCATATTCAGATGCTGAGCCAAGATGGGAGGCTTGCTTTGAGCCAGGAGTCTGAGACTACCCTGAACAAAAAGTGAAACTAGAAAAAAATTAGCTGGATGTAGTGGCACATGCCAGTAGATCCAGTTACTTGGGAGGATGAGGCAGGAGGATCCTTTAGCCCAGTAGTTTGAGGTTGTAGTGAGCAATGATGACATCACTGCACTCTAGCTGGTGTGACAGAGTAAGACCCTGTCTTAAAAACCAAACCAAATCATTTATTGCAGCTCAATTTACAATCATCAAGATATGGAAACAACCCAAGGGTCCATCGACCTATGAATGGAATAACAAACGATGGTATATGTATTCATGGAATACTATTCAGTCATAAAAAGATGAAGATTTTATATTTTTTGTATTAACCTGGACAGAGTTGAAATATAAACTTCTTAGTAAAGTGTCATAAGAATGGAAAAACAAGTATCCAAAATACTCAATACTAGTAAGAAGCCAGTAGACAGGCTGCTCCCATAGCTTAGTGGAGGGGTGCTGGCCACATACACCTAGGCTGGTGGGTTTGAACCTGGCCAGGGCCAGCTAAAACAACAATGACAACTGCAACAACAACAAAAAATAGCTGGGCGTTGTGGCAGGCACCTGTAGTACCAGTTACTTGGGAGGCTAAGGCAAGAGAATCACTTAAGTCCAGGAATTGGAAATTGCTGTGAGCTGTGACACCATAGCACTCTATCCAGGGTGACATAGTGAAACTCTGTCTCAGGAAAAAAAAAAACAAAACAAAAAAGCCACCAGTAGACATACACATCCACACAAGAGAAAAACTCAATTCAATTCAAGTTAGGAGGAAGGGAGGAAGACGGAAGGAGAGGTGAGGGGGATTGTTGTGCTCTCACCTAATGGCCACAATGTAAGTGTATATGGCATACCTCCTGGGTATGAGACACAACAACAGGGACTTTATCCAACAAATGCAGTGTAACCTAATCATTTGTACCCTTATATTAATCTAAAACAAAACAAAACAAAACAAAACAAAACAAAACAAAGCCAAGAAAACCAAAAAGCTCAACTATCTGAGTCTGGTAGATTTTAGTGGTGAAAATTTTGATTACTTATTACTTATTCAACTTCTTTAACAGTACTGGTTCAGTTGATTTCTTCTTCTTGAATCAGTTTGATTAAATTTTATTTTTCTAGAGGATTATTTAATTTTAGTTCTTATCTTTTTATTCCATTCTTTCTGCCATGTTTAGATTTACTCTGTTGTAATGTTTGAGATCATTTTGGGCTGAAAGTTATATGGCAAAGCTACATGGTAACACAAAAAAAATACTTGTGGCGATTCTCTTGCCTCAGCCTCCCAAGTAGCTGGGACTACAGGCGCCTGCAACAATGTCTGGCTATTTTTAGAAATGGGTTCAGGTTGGTCTCAAACCTGTGAGCTCAGGCAATCTGCCTTGGCCTCCCAGAGTACTAGGATTACAGGTGAGAGCCACAGCACCTGGCTTCAGAAATACTTTTATAAACTGCTATCCATGGCAACACTAAGTTCCCATTCTCCAGAGAAAGGATACCCTGAAGAATTGGGTCTAAGATTCAAACCATGGTTGAAATGAAAAGCAGCTAATTAATAAACAAAGAAAGGCACCAAACTCAATTGTATGAGGGATACATAATCATATTCAGAATACTCTAGTACTATAATGGTGATATGTGAAGAAATTTTATTTCTAGTAAATATTCTAACCATGAAATAGTAAGAATAAATTATAATTACACATAGGTATATGAGATTTTGATACACTCAGCTAATACCCACTTCAACATAACCTTTTAATTCTCCCAGCCCCTTTATACTCACCCTTCCACACTCTTCTGGAGTAGTCTCTTTGTACAATGACTACTATTGTCCTTGCCTCCCCAACTAGGGAAAGAGTGGAATTAGGGAAGGGGGATGTCATATTCACCTTAGAATGTCTTTCTATAGAAGCTATTCTATAATAACATCTGTAGGCTGAATTCTGAAACTGAAGGGGAGGGTTCCTCAGACATATTTACCTACCTACATAGTTCCCTACTTGGATGCTGTATGGTAGACTGATAAGACTACACAAAGCTATAAAGTACTACCAATGTTTTCCAAAGCTAGATGTAAATTATATTTTGATTATCCACATCACCGGTCCCTTCCAGTGATAGAAGGGACAGACAATTGATAGTTGGTTATATAATTTATCTACTATCCTGGATTAGCCACACCACTGATCTTCCTCATTAGAGTGGAAAATCTAGTATTCTTCATCTGTGGCAGTGATGGGTCTGCCAAATTTGTTTTATTATAAACCAAAAATTATCTCAATCTAGATTTCAGGGATAAATTCCAAATGCTTTTAGTGTATTTCCTATCTATATTAACAGAAGTGACTAGGTAAGCATACAACTATAATTTTTTCTTTAAATGAACAAACATAAATGCTAAAATTAAACTCCTCTGCTTTAAAGAGGTAAGTAAACATAAATTGTACATCTGTGTGATTTGTGTGGAAGTGGACACTTACGTGAATATGTTCCCTAAAGGGTGTTGGCAACATATGAATGTTGGTAGCATGGACTGCACAGAGCAGTACAAGATCTAGGGATGATAATTTTGTAAAAGAAGTCTTCTCAAGTTAGGTTTTCAATGTGAGGTTTCCATCTGTATCACCATAGTATGTATTTGATCACAATGGAAAGAGCATCCAAGTATCAGTGCTAAGAGAATTCCTGTACAACTCTGTTGCTTTGAAGATAAAGAAACTGGAGACCAAAAAGGAAAAAGTGGGTTGCTCAATTCAGGAACACAGTAAAAATTAGACCTAAGGATCAGAACTTCATCCTAGCTTTCATATTCTGTGCCTTGCACCCATGATTCCTGAGGCCCCTGTATGGAGATGAACTTTATCTGTTGATGGACTGCCCAGCACTTTTTCTTCTCCCAGTTTATTTCCCTACACTAGTCCAAAGCTCCATATCAGTGAAATGTCATGACTAGAATTTAAGAGGTAGTCTCTACCCAATCCTATCACCCATACCCCTGCCAATTTTGAGGACTCCCATGCCTATGTGTGCCTTCTGCCTCCTGCCATACATATAGTTTGGTATTAGCTTACTTTTGTTTCTAGGGTATTAAAAGTCTACTTAGAGACTGAGGATACAACATCCTTCCAAAAGAAGTTTCTATTTCCTGTGCTATTGCCTTTCCTCCTCTGTGCCTCAGGATCCCCAGAACTGATGAGCTCTATTCTTACGGAGATGACCAGCTGATATTTCACAGTTAATGTGGCAACTGGCCAGGGGACTCACGCCCACCTCACAGCATCCAGTTTCTTCTGCTTTGACACTTCTTGCGTCTAGAACACATACAGTTTGGCGCGTTCATATTCATTTTGTACACCTGGGGTTAGGGAATGTCTGAGCATTTATGGGGTAGATGAGCAAGTCAGTGAGGCAGCACCTCTGTTATTCCAGTAGTTAATGTAAGTGTTTGCATATGGGTGACGATTTAACTGAACACAGAACCAGAGAAAACTAGATATGGTTGTATCAAAGGGATAGTAGTAATAAGAACTCATGAAAACTGCTACCATACTGTTGACCATTATTATTTGTCTAATTGATTTAGGAACTGTGTTAGTTCTAGTCTAACTTGTTCATGTACATTTAAAACAATTAGAGGAACGCACTCTAATTGTTAATCTGGCAAGGATGGCAGAAATAAATCAGTTGGAAATACATTAAGTCTTACTTCAGAATATTTATAAAAATAAGCATTCAGAGTTATGTTCTTTTTGAGTTTATCTTTGAGAAACCAGTCTTTGACAGCAGAATGCTTTATACCCAAATACCACTCAAACTTACATGTCCATAATGGCCTTTCTGTGCACAGAGGTAGCAATATACTAAGGCTGATGGTCTGGAAGGGGTCTTCGGCTTTATGGGTGGTCCAGGTTTGGTCTGAAACATGAATATTTGAGAGGGTTTGTTAATATAATTAAAACCATAAGCTTTCTGAAAGAGTTCTTTACAGGTAAGTGATTCCTTAAAATTGAGGATGGAGACTCCATATTCAGAAGATTCCATATATAATGTGTACAACATGGTAAGAACAATTCTTTTTTTTTTGAGACAGAGCTTCAAGCTATTGCCCTGGGTAGAGTGCCATGGAGTCACAGCTCACAGCAACCTCAAACTCTTGGGCTTGAGTGATAATCTCTTGCCTCAGCCTCCCAAATAGCTGGGACTACAGGCGCCTGCCACAGTGCCTGGCTATTTTTTGGTTGTAGTTGTCATTGTTGTTTGGCAGGCCCAGGCTGGATTCAAACCTGCTAGCTCTGGTGTATGTGACTGGTGCCTTAGTTGCTTAAGTTACAGGCACCACCAATTCTTTCATTCTTAATGTTAGTGTGTACTTTCCTCTCCTTCCTACCCCCCCATTCCATTTGGCATTGTGCTAAACACTGTCTTAGGGTAGAAGACATATAAATAGTTAATTACAAAAACAATGTCAGCATCAACGTACAGGGCATTAAGAGAGTGGCGAGGAGGACCCAACAGCAAATGGGGCAAAGGAAGGATCAGAGAAATCTTCCCTGGACGTATAAAATTTAAACTTACTCTCAAACAATTACCGTTAGGTCAAATGGGGAACCCCAGGCAGAGGAAACAGTAAAAACAATGGCATGAAAAAGCATACATCCCATCACAGTATACATACACAGCCAGCCATAATGGAAGACAAAGCTGGAAGTGGGGCAAAAGAAGGGAAGGCCTTGTAAGTCATGTCAAAGACCCTAAACTTTATAGATGTAGAATAGTTATATTTGTATTCTGGAAAAACCATTTTGGCTTATAGCTATACGGAGAGTGAATATGAGCAGAAGAAAGTTAGATGCAGTGGAAAAGAACAATGAGGTGACTGTTAGTAATTCTAGGTAAGATGATGAGGGTCTAAACTACAAGTGTAGTAAGGAAAGGGAGAAGGGAACAGATTTGGGACATATGTTAGGAAATAAAACTGGTTTTGGTTGGACACTAAACGTATGTGGTGAATGGGGGTTAGAAGAAATCAGGATGCTTTTGAGGCTTTTAACTTGGATGAACTTGTGGGCAATGGTGTTAAGAGTTGACTCAGAAAAGGTTAAGAAAGGAAGAAGGAGCCAGTTCAGAGGGAAGGATGATAAAATCTGTCTTAGATGTTCAGTATCTAGGTGGAGATTTTTAGCAGACAGTTGTCTGAGTTAGGATTAGACCTTAGGGAATATGTCTGAGCTAAAGAATACATTTGAAAGTATTCTGCATAATAGTGAGGCTTAAATGACTACAGTGGACAGATCACCACAAAAAGTATATGGAGTGGCAGTGGGCCAAGATATCAACATTTAAGGGCAGGCAGAAGAGCCAGTGAAAGGGATAGAGAAAGGAGAGTTAAAGGATACAGAGACATAGGAGAGTATAGTCAACAGACCTTAGGCAAGGGTCCAAACTTTTTTTTTTAAGAGACAGAGTCTCACTTTATCGCCCACAGTAGAGTGTCGTGGCACAGCTCATAGCAACCTCTAACTCCTGGGCTTAGGCGATTCTCTTGCCTCAGGCTCCCAGTAGCTGGGACTACTGGTGCCCACCACAGCACCCAGCTATTTTTTTGCTGTTGTTGCAGTTTGGCTGGGGCTGGGTTTGAACCCACCACCCTCGGTATATAGGGCTGGGTGCCCTACCCACTGACCCATAGGCGCCACCCTCCAAATTTTTTTCTCTGCTACACACTGGAAGAATAAGAGTTCTTATTCTACACAATAAATATAAAACACTAATGAAAGCTGGTTAGCAAAAAAATAGTCTGTGCATACTTTTTGTGATATCCAATACTACAGATAAACAAACAAACAAAAAGAAAGTCCTCCCAAGCAGGCTGGAGGATGGACACCCTGGACCTTAGAAAGAAAATTTCAAGAAGGATCTACAATGTCAAATATAGCATAGAGGCCTAGTGAGATTAAGGCCTAGAAATATCCATTAGATGTGGCAATTGTTTACAGATGACTTCACTGTAAGAACTTTGAAATCTTTTAGGAAGAGAAGAAGACAGTGGGTTGAAGAGTGAGATGACCCATATAGTGGTATAACAGTAAGAAGAACAAAGAAATCATTACTTATAAATGCCAAGATGAAGGTTGCTTCCAGCAGGGAGAGAACAGCACAGAGGGTTTGGTAGCTGTAATTTTCTATTTCTTAAATTTAGTGATAGTTACTTAAGTGTATTAGGTAACTAATTTATTAATTTGTACACATAAATTTTATGCATATTTTAGTATGTACATTACATTTTAGAATAGAATGGATCAATAAATTGTGGTATATGTACACCATGGAATACTAAGCAGTCATAAAGAAAGATGGAGACTTTACCTCCTTCATGTTTACATGGATGGAGCTGGAAAATATTCTTCTTAGCAAAGTATCTCAAGAATGGAAGAAAAAATATCCAACGTACTCAGCCCTACTATGAAACTAATGAAACTAATTTATAGCTTTCATAGGAAGGCTATAACCCAATTTTAGCCCAGGAATATGGGGAGAGAGGAGAGGAAGGGGGGGAGGGTAGATGGGAGGGTGATTGGTGGGATCATGCCTATGGTTCATCCTATAAGGGTACATGTGAATCTCTCTAAATGCAGAATATAAATGTCTTAACACAATAAGTAAGAAAAAGACATGAAGCTATGTTAACCAGTTGGATGAAAGTGTTTCAAATTGTACACAGAAACAGTACACTGTACCCCATGATAGTATTAATGTACAGAGCTATGATTTAACTAAAAAATATTAAAAAAAGTTTAAAATATACCGAATATAAGTTGAAGAAAAGGAGAAAGTAGTTATATATTACTGAGAAGAAAGGGCATATTAAGTGGAGACAGTACCACATAGGAGGGGGATTGAGTGGAGCTGTTTTAGAATAGGAAGCTAGTAGAGATGGAGAAATTGAAAAGAGAAAGAAAGAAGACAATGGATAGAATAAGACCCTGAGGAGGCAGTGGCTTTACATAGGGGGAGAAAAATCCCTGCACCCCACAGCCTTTTTGGAGATTGGGAAAAAAAAAAAGAGAGAGAGAGAGATAAGGATGGGCATAAATTTGGATCACTTTCTTTCTTTCTTCTTTTTTCTTTTAGACAAAGTCTCAAGCTGTCACCCTGGGTAGAGTGCAGTGGTATCACAGATCACAGCAACTTCAAACTCTTGGGCTTAAGCAATTCTCTTGCTTCAGCCTCTCAAGTAGCTGGGACTACAGGCGCCTGCCACAACGCCCAGCTATTTGTTGTTGTTGTTGTTGTTGCAGTTGTCATTGTTGTTTTAGCTGGCCTGGGCTGGGTTCGAACCCGCCAGCCTGGGTGTATGTGGCTGACGTCCTACCCACTGACCTGCCAGTGCCACCCTGGATCAGTTTATTTCTTATGTTCTTTAGTGAGAACCTTTAAACAAAGAGTGCTAGTCTACCAACTAATTTTGTTATTTAATGTTGCAAACAGGTAGTCTGTGAAAGTTTTATTTCCTTGAAACAGAAAAATAATGAGTCGGTTAGAAAAATCTTTAAACTTTACTTTCAGCTCCTATACCATAGAATGGAAAATAACCTGAACAAATCTTTTCAACTGAAAATGATCATAAATGCTGAAAAAAATGGAGTTTACAACTATAACTATTATCAGTTGGGATATAATAAAAAACAGAATTATCAAATGTCTTATATTTTCCAATTATAAATGTAGTCTGTAAGACTAGTTTAAAAGTCATTATAGAAGAGTTTTAACAGATATGCACATAAGCCACATATCACTCATTTCAGAAATCACAAATTTCTTTTTTTTTTTTTTT